ATTCCATTCGGTAACACAGTGTATATGATATAGAGATAGATGGAGATGACAGAGAGAGAGAGAGAGAGAGAGAGAGAGAGAGAGAGAGAGAGAGAGAGAAGGTCTCTATGTGCCATATCAAAAGACAATCTCTGATATGAATGTCTTGACCTAGGACCCACATGTAACAAATGTGTTTATTGCACAATAAAGGTTAAATAAATTTTCAAAGACCGAAGTAGTTAACACACTGCTATTGGGATTTTCTTAGATAAACTAATTCAGCCACTAATCTGTTGTTTTATAAATTAACTAGAATATTCTTTGAACCAATGTAGACTATAAGTTATTGGAGGAGAGGGGCCTTGCAGCAGCTCCAGGCACCACCGTGAGAAGGGGCATTCTGGGAGGAATGGGGAAGGCTGCACATAAACAGCCCCCAGGGTGCTGTAGGAGACAAATGTCCCAGCGCTGACAGACAGGCAGCTTCAGGTAAACAGTGTCCTGCGCGCTGACACACATTAGTGCCCTGACCAAGAGGGCGGGTGTGAACGCAGACTCCTGCCGCTTGACCAATCTGCAAACCCTGCATGCTGGATAAACAGACCGGAGCTGAGACTGAGCCGCCTCAGCCTTCTCACGAGACTGCAGGAAGTAAGATGGGCCCAAGTTTACTAAATTCTGCATCCTGCCCAGTGTGGCATTTATTTATTTTTAAGGACTAGACTGTTTTATGTCACCACATATTTTAACCATATTTAGTACATGATCTGTGAATGAAAATTCATATTAGCTAAGCCCTGATCCAGGGTTTGGAGGCAGAATGGTTTCCAGAAACTCTGCAGCAGGATCACTGGTTACCAATGAAGATTCCCACCTCCTCCCTGCCTTTGTGCATACTTCACACACCACATGATATACATGCACATGCATATGCACCAAAGACAGTGCACATACACACACATAAACACACTGCACAGATACCACACACAGACCACATATACATACCAAACACAACACATACGCATGGCATACACATGCATGCACACATCACAAACATACAACATGCACACAGCACATATACACATATGCATAAACACACCATGCACATCATATACATTATACATAAATTCACCATACATCATATACACTGCACACACATCACATGTGAACATACACATCAGGAACACACCAGATCTACAGCCCACATACCACACATCACACATAAACATACATCATATGCACACCAGATATACATACCACACACATCACATATACATGCCACACAGAAATCACACACCACACATACACATATACCATGCATATGCACACCACACACATTATATATCATTATACCATACATATCACATATAAACACACATCACATACTCACACCACACATGTAAACCACACCACACACATACACACAAATATATATACATACACACATCAACACATATTGTGTATTAGAATTGTGAGGAGTTCGGACCTGGAAATGTGCATTTTAACAACCATCCCTGAAGTGTGAGACTTGCGGCTTTCAGATGAACCATGCTTCAAACCTTTAAACTCTTCTGACTGGGGGGAAATGCTTCAGACAATTACAACAAGGAACACATCACACAGTTCCCCATATGGGCCTGGCACACACTGACTTCAGCAGCCCATGAGGTTGCTAATCTGAGAATTTTCACTGTAAGCCTCAAATAGGGTAGGTCCTCCCATTATCAGGCAATGTCCATGGTTGTTAATTAGAAGAAAAAAATGTAGCTAATCTTGGCAATTCAGGAAGTCAGGAAAATGCCTGGTACTAATGAGGTCAGGAACCTTCTATGGTGAGCTCACCATGGTTGACCACAAGCCAAGGCTCTGCAGGCATTATGGGACCTCAGGACAGCCTTTGGGCACCCTCGCCAGCCCTGAATGACCCCTTCTGACTAGACAAGTACCCCATAGCAAGGGAGAGACTGAAAATGCTGGTGATTTAACGAAACTCCTCAAGATAATAGTCTCCCTCCACCCCATGCCTCAAAGGTCTGTTCATCACACCAATGTCTTAGAAGGATGGACTCAGTTCTTCCCTCCTAGGAATTGGTTGATACCTCCCTGCCTGATGGAAGAGGCCAACCCCCACAAGCACCCCCCCCAACCCCGCCTTCGCAGGGAGAAGTTTTGGTGGGAGTGAATGGGGGCCCAGGGAGGTGAGGAGCCACAAGCTTTGCCTTGGTCCAGGAATTGTGGGGGCCAGCATGTCCTGTTTCCCCAAACACTGCAGGGTTGCAGGAGAATTTGGCACCCTCCTGCCATTTTCCTAGAAACCACAGCCTTCCTCTGAGAGGAACTCCAACACTACAAGGTACCTTTTTGCAGGCAATTTCTTCCACCCAAGAATATAACATATTTCTCTCTTTGTTCAAGATTTCTTTTAGATCTTTCAGTCAAAGCTTTTAGTACTCTGAATATGGGTATATTAGTCAGCTAAGGCCACCATAACAAAGGCCCACAGGCAAGGTGGCTGAAACAACAGCAGCTATTGTCTCACAGTTCCAGAAACCAGAAGTCCAAAATCAGGGTGTCAACGGTGTTGGTCCCTTCAGAGGCTGAGAGAGACTCTGTCCCCTAGCTTCTGGTGGTTTGCTGGCAATGTTTGGAGTTCCTTGGACTGGAGAAGCATCACCCTGATCTCTGCCTTCATGTTCACATGGTATCTCCCTCTGTGTGGATGTGTCTCCAAATTTCCTTTTTATAAAGTTACCAGCCATGTTGGATTAGGGCACATTCTTCAACAAGACCTCATCTTAACTAATTACAGCTGCAATAACTATACTCCCAAATTCAGTCACATTCTGAGGTACCAGGGTTAGGACTTCAATATCTGTATTGTGGGGAGGGGGGAGCACAATTCAGTTCATAACAATAGGTATCACAGATCTTTCTTTGCATGTTTATTGTATGATATTGTGATAATATGAATAAGACCTTTTCTAAAAATATATATTATCCTGTGACTGGCATTTGGAAAAATAATTATGGTTTGTAAATTTATCTTGGATCCAGCTACATAATTAAACTGGGTTCAAATTAGTGCAATTTATCTTGAATTTTTACATAGAAAAATTAAAACTCTCTCTCTCCCTTTTAAATATTTACATGTCTATTTTTCCTTGTTTTGCTGGGATCTCATAAACAGTGTTGGATATCTGTATTTGTTGTAGTCATTCAAATATTGCTTTCTGACAAATATGGAAATGCTTCCAAAACAGTATCATTCAATACAATATTATATGTCTATTCTATGTACTTTTCTGTTCTATCCAATTCTACTATCTTTTTAGAATTATATGCAAAGCTGTCTCTCTTTTTTTTAATCCCTGGAAAATATCTTAAATCATGTGGGGATGGATTGTCCCTCTAAAGTTACATGAGTCTCTCAAACCATGTAGCTATTATGCTAACTTTCATGGAGGCGGAACTGTTACATCTTTCATTTATTCTGTAATTTTTTGGTACATTCAAAATTCTTCTGATTCTTGAGGCAGTTTGGCTTTATTTTCTGAGGAAATTATAAATTCTATCAGGATATCCAAATTTATTTGAGTAAAATGTACATATTAGAGTCTTATAATTGAATTCTTCCTACCCCTTCTGCTGCGTCCCCTCTCTGACTTGATCCAATCTGCACATTTGTGAGTGCCTTTGTAGTCTGAGGAGAGAGAAGTGTTATTTTCCAAGACCTGAACTTCAATTTCATCAGTCATATCGCCTGGGTTTGTCTCTCATTTATATAATGTTTCCAAAATTACTGCCTTTGTTTTCATCCTTTCTTCATTTTCTTTAGTTTTACTTTGGTAGCCTTTTTCTGGCTTCGTGGGTTAGTATTTGGTTCAAATTTTCTCAATTGTATATGTTTCTGATTCATGAAATGTAGGATCTAAATTTCTCTCCCAGTGTCATTCTGGCTCCAGGAAGTTGCTCTGCTATATGGTTCTGCCCTCCTGTTCACTTCAAAATACCCTGAATTTAGCTTTGAGGTTTCTCCCCTGTACAAAGCCAATCTTTTGGGCGAAAACTAAGCCATGACTGCAGCAACTCTACTGCTTCTACTCTTGCTGAAATAAGTTTAAATCAAAACCCATACTCGCAGAGGAGGAAATAATGATCACAGAGCTATTAGCATGGTACCAGGGCTTGGCCATCATCCAGTGCACCCAGCTTAGAGCTGCACCAGACTGAGCCAAGCAGTACTTACAGTGTCTCCCAGCCCTCAATCTACAGCTGATCTGTGTCTGTGGGGCCACCACGGGCAAACAAGCTGGAAACCCCGAGTAAGAAACATGCAGGAAGAGAGGGAGGTGGGGAGAGCTGGGCACAGGGCCACTGCCTCTGCTGGCACAGCTTCACATTTTCATAGGCTGGATGGAACTATTGCTTGTCTCTTGGCCTCATGCCAAGCCCTCTGGTCCTAGCTGCATTGTCATCATCTCTGTGCTACTCACTGTTACTTGGGGCTGCTGATCCTTCCTAGAGCACTGCCCAAAATCTGGTATTCAAGAGTTGCTGCAATTACATACAACGTGAGATGGAGTTAAGAGCTAACCAATATTTCATGAGAAATGCAATCAGACTTTTCTCCCTTCCCCACTGGTTTTTTAATCTTGACACCTCCTAAACTCCACAATTTATGACCTCTCCTTCATCTCTCTCATTTATCATGGAGTTCAGCCTGCCATCGGTCCTTTCTTTTGCTCTGAAATGAGCTCCTGGGTGGCTATCATATGTCTTAATACCCGGGCTGCCCTGTAGGTTTGAAAGCGACCCAGAGCATAACCTTTGGGCCCAGTTTCCACCCCTTCCCCCAACCTCACCCCATCTGTTTTGTAAGCAGAAAACAGCCTATCAAATTTTACAGCCAGTTTTTCACTCTGCTTAGTATCTGTTGGCTTAGATTGCTGAACAATTTTACACAGCTGTGCAGCCAGACTAGAAGTTGGCAACTTCATATCTGTCTGCAATAAACTTACCTTCATTAAGTGTTCTCTTGGATTGCTCCATTAGGATTTCTCAAACTTCCTGGGCCTGTCTAGCAGATTCAGCAATCTAGCAAAAGGCCCAGAGCCACAGGCCCTGCAACTGCGTTTGTATAACTGGCACTGGAAACCCTTAGACCTGACCTGGCCAAAGAAACCTGAGACTTTTTTTTTTTTTTTTTGCAACAGGTGGAACGACAACTATGGCTGTCAGGAAACTAGTTACAAGTAATTCATGGGCTGCATCTGGTGGCACCTGGACCATTTAAATGTGAGGACATCTGACAGCTGCTGCAGTAAGTTTCTGCCCAAGCTGCTGCAACATACCCTTCCAGGGAGGCCATATATGTGCCTGTCCTGTAGGGAGCACACAGGGCAAGCTGCAGTCTGGGCCCCATGAATTTCTGGGAGTCCACAGTGCCCAGGAGGAAAGGAGCTATCACCACTGACCCAAGATACACAAAAAATACATTGCATTTGCATGCTCATGTTCATAACAGCACTACTCACAATAGCCAAGAGGTAGGAGCAACCCGGAGTGCATCAACAGATGAATGAAAAAAATTTTTGATCTATACATACAATGGAATATTATTCAGCTTTTAAAATAGAAAGAAATTCTAATACATGCTACATCATGAAGGAACTTAAGAGCATCGTGCTATGTGAAATAAGCCAGTTACAAAAAAAAGACAAACACTATATGATTCCACTTATGTGATGTACCAGAATATTCAAATTTATGGAGACAGAAAGTGGGATGATAGGTGCCAGGGCTCAGGGACTCAGAGAATGGGGATCGTGGTTTAATGGGTATAGTTCCAGTTTTACAAAATGAAAAGTTTCTGGATATCTGTTTTACAACAATGTGAGTGTACTTAACACTACTGAACTGTCAATAGATTATTGGATCAAAAAATTATGGTACATTTACACAATGGAATACTACACAGCAGAAAGGAAAAAAGAACTACTACACTTCGCGACAGCATGGATGGAACTAGAGAGCATTATGCTAAGCGAAATAAGCCAGGGGGCAACAAATACCATATGATCTCACCTATAAGCGAAACCTAACCAACAAAACAAAGATGTAAGGAAATAAAACCAGTGACACTGAAAGAAAAAGAAACCAACAGAGACAAGAAGGAAGGAGGGAGGGGTGGGCAGGGAAAAGGAAGGGAAGGGGCAAATCAAGGAACATATAGCAAGGTCTCATGGACAAAACCAAAGGGGAAGGATTGAGGGAGGGAGAGGGGAGGTGGGGGAGGAGGCAAGGGAAAGGGTAGGGGGTAGGCGGAGACAGATGTATTTGGAAAAATAAATTAATTAATTTTTAAAAAATGGTTAAGGTGGTAAATTTGTATTTTCAAAATGCATTGTCAACTTACTGCATATGTTTGCCTTCAACAGTGCCCAGAATCCCCAGGTCTCAGAAATAAAAATGCTTGCTCCAGCCCTGGCTGGGTAGCTCAGTTCATTGGGGTATCATCCCCAATATGTCAAGGTTTCTGATTTGATCCTTGGTCAGGGCACATACAAGAGTCAACCAATGAATGCGTAAGTAGATGGAACAAACCGATGTTTCTCTCTCTTCTCTCTCTCTCTCCCCCTTCCCTTTCCCCCTCTCTAAAATCAATAAATAAAATACATACATACATACATACATATATACATACATACACTGCTTGCTCCAAGAATCCTTGGTAAATGCAGGTATGGTGTGGAATGCAACACCCCCAAAATGCTCTCAGCTGCTGTGTTTAAGTGTCTGTCCCTGAACCTCCAGGTGGTAGTGGTTGTCCCAACGCACTGGTGAGGGTCAAGGAGCCGGCTGTGCCCTGACAGGCTGTGGGGCTTCAGCAAACAACCCAGGTCTCTGCAACTGCACTGTCAAAGGGCAGAGCTGGAACAGCACATTGCTAAGGTCCGTCTGTGCCCTATCTTTCATGTGAATGTGAAGGTGAAGTACTTATAAAAAGGTCAAGGTTTCTGATGGGTGCTGCCAAAGGCAGGGGAGACAACACTATCATCCAAATCCAGGCATCCACTCTAGTGGCCCCAAGGTGTCGCAAGAGGTCCTTAGTCACCGCCTTCCTCCAAAGAGGTGAGTCCCACTGAGCCAAATATCTCCAGCAGCTGGCCCAGGCTACCAGGGACCAGAGTCATACTGGCTGCATAACAAACAGGAAATGACAGCATCAGCAGCAGGGTGACCCTTATCACTGATGACTGTTGGGGCTCTGGTTTCACAAGAGTGGGCAACATGAAAACTGGGCAGCAGACCTAGAAGAAGAGGGACATGTCAGTACCCTCCCCCACTTATTTTATTCTCCTTCTTGGCAGGGACCCTGGAGACAAGTAGACCTGGTGTTCTGGTCACCCATTTGGGTAATAAACCCCCTCAAAATGTCATGTCTGGCAAACACAACCACATTGACTTTGCTCACAAATCTGCATCTTAGGGAGGGCTCAGTAGGGACAGCTTGGGTTGACCCAGAGGCCAGCACGGGCAGTGATACTGCGTGTCCACTGGGACCTCTGCCACCGAGACTTCTCCTGGGGCAGTAGGTTTCTCCCAAGAGATGCCTGAGATCCAAAAACAAGAGCCCTGAGGGAGTCAGCGAGGAGTGTCACCTTTTCTAGCCCATCCTCAAAGACACACAGTGTCCTTGCCATCACTAAAGCCAGACCATATGTATGTATGAGGAGAAACATTATACTCCTACTCTAGATGTCAAGAGTGTCCCAAGATTTGCAGACAGGTTTTAAAACTCTTGCACAATTGTACAATTCCTCAGTGCCCACTGTGGGTCAGTCTCTCTGTGCCTTAGTAGCCCCGTTGTGAGGATTGCACAGCTCATAACGGTGAAGCGAACATAAAGCTTATCCATTAGTGGATATTGATTATTGATCATGCAACTCTGGAGCTAGAGAGGGTGGTTAATAGTACTACTATTTTACAAAAAGAGCACAGGGAGATTCTGAGGATTCTTTAAGTCCACTTAGCTAATTAGGGAAAAGGATACAACCAGAAAGTAGTCTCTTAATCCAATTGAAGGCTTAGCTGTTTTTGTTGAGAGAATTATTGCCAAGGGGAACACCAGGGGCAAGCAACAGTGGAGCTGGAGGAGGCTGGAACTTAAAGCCAGAGGGGAGGGCAGGAGGCAAGTCAGCTGGAAGACATTGAAAACATGGACAGAGCTATTGAATGGGACACAATGCCCATGAGACTTTGGGGAGAGCCAGATAGTGAGATACAGCCCCTAATTTACAGACAGGAAATGAAGGGTAGAAGCCGCCTCTGGTCTGGCACTCTAGCTCAGGCCTTGTCTCTGCCAGACAGCTCTGGGGTCACAATGCCATCATGGCTTCTCATAGGCCAGTAAGGGGCTTTTCTGGGAATCATGTGGCATAGGTTTCTGCCTGTTAGAACCTGCAGGCTTGTAGCACGGCCACCACCCTGTACACAGGAAAACACCAAGAGGCCTTACAGAACCATGTTCCAGACACACCTAAAAGGACGTTCTGCCCAGTGCTCCAGGGGTGTGACCTTAGAGGCAGGCTCAGGGCCACCCCTTCAGCAGACATGCAGCCTTGTTACCTCTGGGTTTGGGAGAGGATGCAGAAGGTCAAGATTTCCCAGTGGTAGCACAGGTCCCCATGCCCCCTGAGGCACCTCTCTTCTCATCAGTCACTGCCTCATCACCTTGGCTGAAGGTAAGTCTTGGGAGAGAGCCAGTCACCTGCAGCAAAGTGGGGCAAGTCTTGCCAGATGGTGAACAAGTCCTTCTGACTTTTCTATGTGAAAAGACTCATATCTCCCATAAAGCATGTTCATGACACTTCCCTAGGGAGGTGTCCTGCCGTGGAGGTCATCGTGAGTCCAGATCTGCAGCCCGCCTCTTAGGTTGTATGTGTTCTCTGGGAGGATTTAAAAGAATGAATTAACGGCTCACTCTCTGGGCTGTATTAAACCATCTGACTGGCCAGTGGGGAAGAGTCATTTTCACCGAGAGCCTCTACAGTGTCCCCTCCCAGAAGTTCTTCTTACTGTGATCTCACCACCCACCCATCCAGGAGGAGTGCATGTCTATCCCCCGCAACCTAGGCACACCTCCAGGCCTGCCTCAGCAAGAGTTCAGCAGAGACGGATTCACAGAACTCCTGAGGCCTCTCATGGATCACTGTCACATGATTGCTCTGAGAACCCAGCCACCCTGCTGTGAGGAAGCCCAGGGCACAGACAATGGGGGGAGGGGGTTCCTGGGCCATGACCATGGCTGAGTGCCCACTCAACTAGCACCAACTTGCTGGTCATGGGGTGCACCATCCTGGAGGTAAAGTCCTCAGCTGCTAATATAGACCCAAATAAAGAAGCCAAAGGAACAAAGGCTTCCTGCCTCACAAACTCCAAAGAAGAGTCTAGATAGACCTCCTTATGGCTTTGTTCCTGTGCTAGGCAGCTATTGAGATGGTTTCCAGTGATATCCACCTCCTGGAATTCATACTTTTCCCTATGTGTGCATATGTGTGTGCATGTCTGGATGTGTGTGTGTGTGTAGGTATGTATGTGTAGGTTTTGAGTATATATGTGTATATACATGTGTGTGCAAGTATGTATATATGTGTATGTGTTTGAGCATGCATGCCTGTGAATTTCATGGATTTTAATGTGTGTATGTATGTGGATATGTCTATATGTATATCAATATGTATGTGAGTGTGCATGTGTGTATGTGTTTTTGAGTAGTATGTGTGTGTGTGTATATGCATGGGTATGTATGTGCAAGCCAGACCTACAAATCTTCTTCTAATGAGTCAAATGTGACAAAGATGGGAGGATGCCATTTCCAATTCTGAGATATAAAAGCCTGTGACTTTAGTCCTGCTCTCACTCTCTCTTGCCTTCCCAGCTTTCTCCTTTGATGAACAAGCTATCAGGGCAAGGAACTAATGCCTCAGCTCAACAGCCTGTGAGGAACAAGATCCCTTCCACAGCTGTGTGAGTGAGTGGAGGCAGGTCCTTCCCCAGGTGAGCCTGAGATGACCAGAGCCCAGCTGACATTGGCATTGCA